GCCCTCTGTGGTAAAGAATTCACTCCCCTCTGAGAGAGGAAATTCCTCCTCATCTCTGTCTTAACTGAGTGATCCCCTTATTCTAAGATTATTCCCTCTGGTCCTAGACTCTCGCGCAAGGGAAAACAACCTTTCTGCATCAAGTCCCATAGAGTCTTTTATTTCAATAAGGTCGCCTCTCATTCTTCTAAACTCCAATGAGTACAGGCCCAACCTCCTCAACCCCTCCTCATAGGACAGTCCCTCCATCATCGGGATCAGCTGAGTGAATCTTCTCTGGACTGTCTCCAATGTCAGTTTATCTTTCTTCAGATAAGGGGCAGAAAACTGTTCACAGTGTTCCAGCTGTGATCTGACTAGTGTCTTGTGTAGTTTTAGCAAAACCTCCCAACTTTTATACTCCATACTCTTTGATGTAAAGACTGACAATTCATTTGCTTTCCCTACTACCACCTGAACTTGGATGCTAGCTTTTTCTGATTTATGGCCAAGAGCTCCTAAATCTCTCTGTTCCATAGCTTCCTGCAGTTTTTCTCCACTTAAATAATATTCAGCTCCTCCATTTGTCCTGACAAAATGCATAACCTCACCTAATATTCCTAATATTCCATTTCTGAAGAAGGGTCTCGACCTGAAATGTCAGCTTTCCTGCTCCTCTGATGCTGCTTGGCCTGCTGTGTTCATCCAGCTCTACACTTTGTTTTATCTAATATTCAGCTGCCCAGTTTTTGCCCACTCATTCAACCTGTTTATATCCCACTGCACAATCTTTGTGTCACTCTCATAACTTGCCTTCCCAGGTATTTTGTGTCACAGCTCAGTCTAGTTTGTTGATCAGTCCTGTGAAGGCACTGTTTTACTATGTTGCTGTATAAATGCAAGTTGTTGTTTTATTTGCTGAATTATATTAATGCATACATCAATCCTGGAAATCGTTCCCTAAAAGCACTGTGTATGGACCGTCAACTCCCCGATGAACGTTAATGAAGGCAGCTCACCATCACTTTCTCGAGGGCAGTTAGGGATGAGCAACAAATGCTGGGCCAGTCAGTTACACACACTTCCCATGGGTGAAGAAAAGGAAGGTTAGAGTTCTGAGAGAGTGAATATAAACATCGCCAGCCCTATTACTTGCCTCGTGTGATATAGGGTCGTCTATAAAATGATTTTGAGTGTAACATTCCTTGGAGAGCCTCTTGCCAGATGACATGAAAATGTATGGTTCTTTCCAACTTGAATTCAAATATAACAGAATCAGAATCACAGGATTGTGACCAAACTAGTATTATTTAGTGCTAATATCTTGCCTTTTAAGACCGTAAAAAAAAAGGAACAGGAGTAGGCTCAGAAAGAGTAAGAACTGCTGATGCTGGAGTCAGAGGTAACACAGTGTGGAGCTGGATGAACACAGCAGGCCAGGCAGCATCAGAGGAGCAGGAAAGTTGATGTTTCGGGTCGGCACCCTTCTTCAGAAAGGTAAAAGAATTCCAAAGACTTACTCCACTCTGAGAGAAGAAATTCCTCCCCAGCTCTGTCTTTAAAGAGTGACCTATGATTCCGAGATCATTCCCTTTTGTCACAGACTCTCCCACAAATGGAAACAACGTTTCTGCATCTACCCTGCCAAGTCCCCTAGAGTTGTGTATGCTTCATTATGTTGGCTCTCATCTTGTGAAACACCAACAAGGCCCAATTGACTCAACCTCTCATCATAAGACTGTCTCTGAGCTGTTGAGACAGTCACTGGGTGTCCAAGAATTCTTCACAGTCTACGGAGTATGTTTGAAGTGTCATTGGTGTTGCAATGTTGCTAATGTTCCAGCAGCCAATCTATACACAGTTCGCTGTCACAAACAGCAATTTGTTAAGGACCAGATATAATCTGCTTTTACTATGACTAAAAAGTGAGCAGGACATCAAGGCTGAATCCCTTCTTACAAAAGTAACTCCATTTTACAACCAGACCTCGCTTTACTGTCCCAAAACAAAAAGCAGTCCTTCCACCTGTGCACTGCACTCTCTCATAATGCTGCACTGGAGGTTTCTTCAAGACTTTAGTTGTGAAGTCCAAGAGTGGGACACAAACTTACAACTTTACGACTGCTACCAACAACTCATGGCTGATTGTAGCAAACTCTGTGTGTTTGCAGACGCCCAGACTCTGATAGAATTAGCTAAAGTTGACTCAGTGGTGTTGAACATTGACAGCCAGTGAGTAGGTTTTGTAAGACAAACACTCCCACCATGAGACTTGGCAGAGTTACTGTTCAAATATTTACACACATACACTGCCTTTGCTGACACATATCACTTGCTCTGGTAACCATGGGTCACTTCATAGACTCATAGAGTCATACAGCACAAAAACAGACCTTTCGGTTCAAATCGTCCATGCCGACCAGGTATCCTATATAAATCTAGTCCCATTTGCCAGCATTTGGCCCATATCCCTCTAAACCCTTCCTATTCATACACCCACCCCAATGCCTTTTAAATGTTGTAATTGTACCAGCCTCCACCACTTCCTCTGGCAGCTCATTCCATACAGACACCACCCTCTGTGTGAAAAAGTTGGTCCTCAGCTCCCTTTTAAATCCTTCCCCTCTCACCTTAAACCTATGCCCTTTAGTTTTGGATTCAAAAGACCTTGGCTATTCATATCCCTATCCATGGCCCTCATGATTTTATAAACCTCTATAGGGCCATCCCTTCAGCCTCTGATGCTCCAGAGAAAATAGCCCCAGCCTATTTAACCTCTCCCTATAGCTCAAACGCTCCAACCACGGCAACATCTTTGTAAATCATTTCTGAACCCTTTCCGGTTTCACAATATCCTTCCTACAGCAGGAAGATCAGAATTGCACACAGTATTCTAAAAGTGGCCTAACCATAGAAACAGAGAAGACAGGAGCGGGAGGAGGCCATTCGGCCCTTCGAGCCTGCTCCACCATTCTTCACAATCATGGCTGATTGTCCAACTCAACAGCCTAATCCTGCTGTATCCCCATAACCTTTGATCCCATTCACCCCAAGTGCTATACCTAGCCGCTTCTTGAATACATTCATTGTATGGAATCAATGTTCTGTACAGCTGCAATGTGACCTCCCAACTCCTATACTCAATGCACAGACTGATAAAGGCAAGTGTACCTAAAGGCAATATGAATGGGGGACTGCTGATTCCCATGGGACTACAGGCTGCACTCACTCATCAGACACAGATGATGGCATTGAGTCGAATGTGACAGTCCCCACCCTACAGGCAGGATTGAGAAGATGGGTCCTACATGGTAACCACAGCTGGTATAAGAATTGAACCCACCTTATTGGCATCGCTCCACATTGCAATGTGAACTGAGCTGGCTGACCCGAACAGAATAAATCCAATGGCATCGTATGAAAATATAATTCATTTTATTTCATTACGACCATTACGACGGAAACCAAACAAAACTGAAATGAATTCCACATTTGTTATTAGGTTTAAACCCGAAGAAAATTACTCATTATTAGTTATTTTTACAACCAGGATTGTAACTCAGAAATATTGAAACCAATCCTATAGTAACTTTTAGACTGAGACTTTTCTCCTCTGTTATCTGGGCCCTATTTAACTCGAGGGTCAGGAGGTTTATACAATATGGGTGTCCCAGTCCTGGTTGTCCCCTCCTCCACACCCTACGCCACTACCCACCAATCCCCCCCCATCAATCCCTGTCTCACTTACACCTCTCCACTTTTAAATACTGACAGGGCGGTTCGCAGTACCACACAAATTCCCCTGCCCCAGGAGTCACCTCAGTGCGACCGGATTGCCCTGGGTTAGCAGCAGCAGCAGCGTGTGCTATCATGGCTTCATCAATGACCCCAGAAACTAAAGTATTGAAGGACCGAGACATTTGACAAATCTGAAAGAGGTCCTTGTGGTCTTTCAGTGCCTTTTGTGATTGGCACCTGTGGTCTCTTGGTGACCTATGGTTCTTTAGCAACCAACTCTAACTCAATGATATGAGGTTGCTCATGGAGATACAAGTGTTGCCATGACCTGAGCAGAACAGGGCTAGGAAAATCCAGAGTTCACGGTTGCTATAACTCATGTGCCTGGCAACCATGAAATTGATACCCAACTGTGATGAATTGGTAACGAAGGAACAATAGAAGCTTAGACTGGCACTGTGTATAATGGTTATACTCATGGATTTGCCCTTTGGAAGATTTGACTAATGACTGTGGAGATGAGAATTCAAATCCCAGCACTGCTGCTGGGAATATCTAATGTCAACAAATTAAATTGACTATGAATAAAAGTTAGTGTCAGTAACTTCACTCTGATCTCAGGCAGCACCATACTCCTACAACAGCATAGGGCTGCTCTCTCATTAGACAGATGTGACTAGTGGTGGTTTAGATCATAGAATCCCAACAGTGTGGAAACAGGCCATTCGGTCCAACAAGTCCACACTGACCCTCTGAAGAGCACCCCACCAGGACCCATTCCCCTACCCCTGCATTTCCCATATCTAACCCCACCTAACCTAAACATCCCTGGGCACTATGGGCAATCCACCTACCCTGCACATCTTTGGGCTGTGGGAGGAAACTGGAGCACTCAGAGGAAACCCACACAGACACAGGGAGAATGTAAAAATTCCACACAGACAGTCGCCCGAGGGTGGGATCGAACCTCGGTCCCAGGTGCTGTGAGGCAGCAGTGCTAACCACTGAGCCACCTTGCCTCAGGAAAAGGGAGAGGTGGAGAAGGTCAGATCTTTGTGATAACCACAGCTGGTGCAGGAATTGAACACATGCTGCTGGTGCTACTGTGTGTTACACACCAGCTAACTGAGCTAACACCTCTTTGTTTGAGCCACCAAGTAACTCTTCAATTGTTGTAAAAACCAAACTGGTTCACTAACAAAAACAGAAGTTGCTGGAAAAGCTCAGCAGGTCTGGCAGCATCTGTGGAGGAGAAAACAGAGTTAACATTTCGGGTCTGGTGACCCTTCCTCAGAACCCTGGTTCACTAATGTCCTTTTCGGTAGGTAAATCTGCCATCCTTATGCAGTCTGGCCTACATGTGGCTCCAGACAGATAGCAATGTGGGTTGATCTTTGACTGCCCTCTGGAATGGCTATAGCCATGATCTCATTGAAAGGCGGTGCAGATTTTAATGGGCTAAATGGCCCACGTTTGCTCCTAAGACTTATGGCTGAGCAAGCCACACAGTTCAAGGGCAATTAGGGATGGGCAACAAATGCTGGCCTTTTTGGAGACACCAATAGCCCTGAGTGAATAAAGGAAAACCCAAGCACCTTTGGAAAGGGCAACTGGGGAAATCCAAATCCCCTCAGCTGGTCATGCAAAGTGGGAAAAAGGAGATATTCCAGGATGATTAAATACTCTCTCCCTTGGAGAGATTGGAAAGAAAGGGTTAGGAATATTTGTCACAGAATAGATTGCCGGCTGCCAACACCCACTTTAGCAGGCCCCTTACAATTTTCTCCATCGTTTCCTTTCCTTCTCTGAAGATATTGATTCTTGTCCGCGAGGTGGAAAGCCTCCATGATTCTCAATGGGATGACTACTCCTGACACGAGAGGTTTCCTGACAGTGAGACCGGGCAATGCTGATCAGTTGCGGACTGCATCACAGCCAGCATTGCTCTGTCTTCGCACGGCAGAGCAAATCACCCCTTCCCCAATTTGGGAATGCCCAACGCAAAATGTTAACCCCTCAGCCTGGAATAACTCCATCAGCGGAGGACAGAATTTCAGTCTTTTGACCCCATCCACCTGATTGTTGTTTTGGGTTTGAGCAGCACTCTGTGTTTATCTTCGAAGGAACTGGGCAGAGAGTGGGGTCACCACTTTCAATTCCATCACCCTGTTGTTGGACAGAGTGAAAGAAAGAGTGAGAAAACACTTTGAAGGCTTAAGGTTCAAATACGATTCCACCTACAGAAGATATTAAAATAAGATCTACATCACAGAATATATTAAGCTTTCCTGATTGATAAATTACTACGGTTTCTCAGTCCCATACACTCGTATCAAAAGTGTGGCTTAGAATAGTTAAACATGAGGTAGTCCAGGTAATAAAGGTTATAGATTTGTTGCCTTTGCAAAGGTGGGATCTGAAGGAGATAGTGTTTGACGACTGCTGGTGTGGTTCTCTCATCGGTGGAATGTCGGTCTTTAAAACTGGGGAACTGGAGGTCGCGAGGAGCACCAATCAGCTTCAGGAAGTAGTTGGCGTCTTTCTCCAGATCCTCAAACTTCCCGATGAAGTCGTAATCGATGAGGCAGGGCGAGCAGAGCTGGCCGATGGGCTCCCAGTGGATGTCCATGCCCACAGGCTTCTGTTGGTCCAGGAGGTATTGGACAAACTCACTAAAGGTCACACCAGCCCCGGTGCCCAGTGCCTCAGCACTGGCATTGGCTCGGTACTTCCTGAGGATGGCCTTGCCGAAGACTGGGTGGTAGTAGACGTTGGGGTGCTCGAACTTATCCCTGAAGGCAGACACCAGCCTTTCCATGGGGTCCCTCACGAACAGCACTTTGGTGAAGCTGCCCAGGAGCTCGTAGGCCTTGTGCAGGCTGTAGCTGTCCAAGCGGTGGAGGTGTGTGCCGTAGTGCACAAACTGGTGGGAGATGTTGTGCGGGGAAGAGGCCAGGCCATTCAGTACCATTAGGACCCGCTTCCAGTTGGAGCACCCAGCCTTGGGTACCTCGCAGTACAGCAGCCTGTGCTTATCCTCCACATACAAGCGCGAGACAAGCCTGATCAGGGAGCGTCTGGGCTTGCTGACCTGATACTTCCTGCAGAAGTCAGCGATGTGTATCCTCCTCCTCTCGTGGACCTCGTCAGCAACCAGCGTCCTCTCCCCTCTCAGGCCCAGCGGCAACGGCTGGAGAAACCTCTTCAGCAGAAGGCTCCCCACCTCCCGCTGCTTCCTCAGAGGGGCCTCGGCCATGGGACGCGACCCGGGTCCAGGGACTGTCCCGGGGCTCAGACCCTTAGCCTGGTCATCTCCGGGCTCCACATTCTTCCCCTGGCTCTCTGTGGGCCCTCTCCTGACCTGTAAAAAAAGGGGAGAAAGAAAGGCGTAAGGTGAGATAAATGAAAGCTGAGGTAAAAGAAAGCTGAGGTAAAAGAAAGAACTGCAGGCAATGGAGATCTAAAACAAACACAACCAGAAATTGCTGGAGAAACTCCACAGGTCTGGCAGAAGGGCTGAATGGCCTACACCTGCTCCTACATCTTACAGTCATGGGAGATCAAGGCAGTGAACAGCCCAGGGGTCAGACTCAAGGGCAAACAATGACTAAGTGGTATGTTGAAGGGTCACTGGACTCGAAACATTAACTCTGTTTCTCTCTCTCTCCACAGATACTCCCAGACCTGCTGAGTTTCTCCAGCATTCTCTGTTTTTCTTATGTGTATGCTTTCAACGAAAGTTGAATTCTGATTGCCGAGTGCAAACAAAGTCCAGCCTAAACATCAGAAAACAGAAAGTACAAACTTCAAACCTTTTAAGCTGCAAAAAAAAATCTAATCTTGCTTCCTTATCTAAGGAAAGAGAGACTGATGTTGGAGGCAGTTCAGAGATGGTTTACTTGGCTGATCCCAGATATGGAGGGACTGTCTTATGAGGAGAGGGTGAGTTGGACCTGTACTCACTGGAACATGGAAGAATAAGACACAACTTTACTGAAATATATAAAATTCTTAGGGAACGTGATGCGGTAGATGTGGGAAGATTTTGATTTGACTTGATTTGTTGTATTTGGACTTCCAGAAGGCATTCAACAAGGTACCTCACAAAAAGTTAAGTCATTAGACAACAGTCCACAGTGTTGGATTTGGTTTGATTTATTATTGTCATGTACCAGGATACAGTGAAAAGTATTGTTTTGCGTGCTATCCAGACAAATCATGCCTTAGGTAAGTACATCAGGGTAATAGAAAAGAATGCAGAACATAGTGTCACACCTGCAGAGAAGGCGCAGAGAAAGATCAACTTTAATATACAAGAAATCGGTTCATAAGTCTGATAACAGTGGGGGAGAAACTGTTCTTGAATCTGTCGGTACGTTATTTCAAACTTTTGTATCTTCTGCCTGATGGAAGAGGGTGGAAGCGAGTATAATGGGGTGGGAGGTGTCTTTGATTACATTCCTTTCCCAAGGCGGCAGGCAGTATAGACAGCATCAATGGATGGAAAGCTGGTTTGTGTGATGGGCTGGGCTGTGTTCACAACTCTCTGCAATTTCTTGTGGTCTTGGGCAAAGTAGTTGCTGTACCAAGCTGTGATACATCCAGGCAGGATGCTTTCTATGGAGCATCTATACAAATTGGTGAGGATCCTTGTGGACATGCTGAACTTCCTTAGCCTCCTGAGGAAGTACAGGCTTTGGTGTGTTTTCTTGACTGACTGTTGCTTCCCCTTGTGGGAGAGCCTAGGACCAGAGGGTATAAATCTCAGAATAAGAGGTCACACAATTTAGACAGAGATGAGGAGGAATTTTATCTCTCAGAGGGTTGTAAATCTAATGGTAATGCCATTGAATGTCAAGGGAGGGTAGTTAGAAACACATGGAACTCTGCTAGATGTTTTGGGTGCTCCAGAAGCTGGTATCTCCAGTTGTGGAGGTGAGGGACCACACAACGGCTGTGATCCTGAACCCTACCCCCAGCCTAAAACGTTTGCGGGGTCATGGCCTTTGACAATTACATGGTATTTTGGAAGTTTCTGTACTGCATTTTCTCTCTGGGTTTTACACTTCGTGATGGTACAGATTAATAATCAATTAAACAAATTGGTGGAAGATTCTTAGTCACTGCTGTAGTATCTCAGATACGATATCTTTACCAGACTGATTCCTGGGGGATGGCAGGACTGATGCATGAAGAGAGATTGGAGCAGTTAGTTATATTTGTGAAGTTTAGAATAGTGAGGAGAGAATCAGACAAGAATCGAGAAAATTCTAACAAGTATGGAAAGGGCAAACACAGGAAGTATGTTCCCAATGACCAGGGGAGTCCAGAACCAGGGGGTCACAGTCTAAGGATACGGGGATGAAGAGATGAGGAGAAATGTCTTCACCCAGAGAGAGGGGAGCCTGTGGAATTCTCTGCCACAGAAAGTGGTTGAGACAAAAACATGGAATGTTTTCGAGAAGGAGTTAGATATAGTTCTTGGGGCTAAAGGGATCGAAGGATGTGGGGAGAATGTGGGAACAGGGGACTGAATTGGATGATCAGACACGATCATATTGAATGGGGGAGCAGGCTCAAAGGGCCGAATGGCCTACACCTGTTCATTTTTTGTATGTTTTTATCTTTCTATATTTCCACTTGTGAACAAAACTGAAATGATGAAATGAGTGCAATTAATATGAGACAGTCCCTAAATGTATCCAAACAAGAATTTAGGAACCGGGGTAATTTTCGTTTATTCATCAGTGTTGTGAATGTTGGACATTGCTGGCTGGGCCCAGCATTTATTGCCCCTTGAGAAGGTGGGGGTGAGCTGCCTTCTTGAACCGCTGCAGTCCAGGTGCTGTAGGTAGACCCACAATGCCCTTAGGGAGGGAATTCCAGGATTGTGACCCAGTGACAGTGAAGGGACGGCGATATATTTCCAAGTCAGGATGGTGAGTGGCTTGGAGGGGAACTTGCAGGGGGTGGGTGTTCCCATGTATCTGCTCCCCTTGCTCTCCTAAACAGAAGTGGTTGTGGGTTTGGAAGGTGCTGTCTGAGGATCTTTGGTGAATTTCTGCAGTGCATCTTGTAGATGGCACACACTGCTGTGGCCGAGTATTGATCATAGAGGGAGTGAACCTGCAAGTTGCCTTTCAAACCAGTCACCATCCTGACTTGGATCTTCAAATAGGTAGGTCACTACCACCTTCCTAAGGGATCTAGGGACGTGCATTCCACTAATGCCTATTACTCATGAACAAATAAATCAAAATGGAAGAGAACTTATTCACTGAGAGGGTGGTAAATCTTTGGGGCTATGGGAGCTCACTCATTGAGTGAATTCAAGATGAGGATGACAGACTTGTGTTACTAACAAAATCAAGGGATATGGGATAGCATGGAAATATGGCATTGAGGTAGATAATCTACTATGATCTGGAATGTCTAAGCAGAGTTAAAGGGCTGAATGGCCTACTCCTGTTCCTATTTTCTATGTTTCCATGCTTCTAACCTTCATGGTTCCTATACACAACATTGTACAACATGGTCATGAATGTCAATTACCTTATTAGTTTGGTCCTGTTGAATCTTGTATCTCAACACTGAAAGGAAAAACAGAAGATCAGGATTAATTATCATGTGAATAGAATCTTTAGGAATCAAAATGAATCTACCTTCCAAACCCGTGACCACTTCCATCTGGAAGGACAGGGCCAGCAGTTACATGGGACCACCACCCCCTGCAAGTTCCCCTCTCAGCCACTCACCATCCTGACTTGGAAATGTATCATCGATGCATCACTGTCACTGGGTCAAAATCCTGCAATTCCCTCCCTAAGGGCATTGTGGGTCTACCTACAGCACATGGACTGCAGCGGTTCAGGAAGGCAGCTCACCCCCACCTTCTCAAGGGGCAACTAGGGACGTGCAATAAATGCAGGGCCCAGTCAGCGACACCCACATCCCAAGAAATTCAAGTGAATAAACTGCCTCTGAAGGCGGAATTATGGCCTGGATTTTGGAGCAGCAGTGCAGTGAGGCTATCAGCACTTTTAGTTATGAATAAATAAATCAGAGAGCAATTTCTGGAGTTTACACATATGGTCTAAGCCCATGGATTAGAAAGCTTTTGCAAAGGCTTCACTTGTCATATTTCTGAAGTGTTTCGAGATGTCTGTTGCACACTGTTCTTGTCTCTGACACCCTATCTCTGGCTGGGAACCCTGCTGCAGGCAGGATAGACACAGCAAGACCAGTGTCATCTCTTGGCCGAACGGCCCTGGTATTGAGGTATTATGCGCTATGCTGGCTGGACCATCTTGCTGTAAGCCTCACACAAGACATCCACAATAAGGTCTCTACTTCGAACGTCAACACGCAAGTGGTTACCAGGAGGGAAGGGAATCAGTTCAAAAACATCCTGCAAGACTAGAATATCCCGACTGACCTGTGGGAATCTCTAGCACACAACCACCCGAATGGAGAAGAAACTTCCCCAAAGACTCATAACACTGGAGTGGAAGAAAGTCATCTCCCTCATCCAGAAGGGTCTGCTGCAGACGAAGAGTAGTGTAAGGGTGTAAGGCTTTGGGATGGCTGATGCTGAGGAGTGTTTTCAGCACCAGTGAGAATGATGATGATCTACAGGTCTGGGAGAGGATGAGGATGTGGGGAAACAGCTTAGGATCTTGAAGGATTATGACATAGCATCCACATCTTGCTCCATGTCTCTCTAACAATGTCTATCAAATCAGAGTAACTTGTCCCTGGTTCCCATCACACAATAAAACACATCATGCTAAAGGAAGAAGCCTCTTCTCATTAGACCACGAGTAGTTTACTCATTTACTACAACAAGGAGGCCCTGTAGAACGCTGGTGGGGGGTAGGATTTTTTTATGTGCGGGTCAGATGTGGGCATTGCTGGGCATTTATTGGCCATTCCCAGTTGCTCTTGAGGTGGTGCTGAACTGCTTTCTTGAACCGCTGCTGTCTATGGTTTTGTAGTTAGACCCACAATGCCCCTAGGGAGGGAATTCCAGGATTGTGACCCAGTGAAAGTGAGGGAACGGTGATATATTTCCAAGTCAGGATGGTGAGTGGCTTGGAGGGGAACTTGCAGGGGGTGGTGTTCCCACGTATCTGCTGTTCTTATCCTTCAGGATGGAAGTGGTCGTGGGTTTGGAAGGTGCTGTCTGAGGATTTTCAGTGAATTTCTGCAGTGCATCTTGTAGATGGTACACACTGCTGCTACTGAGCGTCGGTGGTGGAGGGAGTGGATGTTTGTGGATGTAGTGCCAATCAAGCGGCTGCTTTGTCCTGGATGGTGTCAAACTTCTTGAGTGTTGTTGGAGCTGCCCCCATCCAGGCAAGTGGGGAGTATTCCAACACACTCCTGACTTGTGTTTTGTAGATGGTGGACAGGCTTTGGGGAGTCAGGAAGTGAGTTTCTCATTATAGTATTCTTAGTCTCTCACCTGCTGTTGTTACCACTGCATTTATATGGCTAGTCCAATTATGTTTCTAGCCAACAGTGATCCCCAGGAACAAAATCAAAGTTGCTGGAAAAGCTCAGCAGGTCTGGCAGCATCTGTGGAGGAGAAAACAGAGTTAACGTTTCGGGTCCGGTGACCCTTCCTCAGAACTGATGGTGGCTGGGAAAACGTCAGTTTATATGCAGAAAGTAGGGAGGTGGGTGGGGTAGGGAGTAAACGATAGGATACAGCCCAAAGAGAGAGAAAGACAGTTGGACAGACAAAGGCGTTGCTAACGATCAGGCTGGGAGGGTGAGTAGTTGTTAATGGGGACTGTTAGTGACTAACAACAGGGGGTGTGTAGTGGCAGGCTATGTGATAACAAGGCCTGGTGTGTGGGGTGGGGGGCTGGGACATGGGAGAGTTTAGGCCCTAAAATTATTGAACTCAATATTGAGTCCGGAGGGCTGTAGGGTCCCCAAGTGTAAAATGAGGTGTTGTTCCTTCAGCTTGCGCTGGGCTTCAGTGGAACACTGCAGCAAGCCGGAGACAGAGATGTTGGCCAGGGAACAGGGTGGTGCATTGAAGTGGCAGGCAACAGGTAGTTCAGGGTCTTTTCTGCGAGCAGAACATAGATGTTCTGCGAAGTGGTCGCCAAGTCTACGCTTCGTTTCCCCAATGTAGAGGAGACCACATTGTGAGCAGCGAATGCAGTAGACTAGATTCTTGGAAGTGTAGGTGAAGTGTTGCTTCACCTGGAAGGTATGTTTGGGCCCTTGGATAGTGGGGAGGGAGGAGGTAAATGCGCAGGTGTTGCACCTTCACCAGTTACAGGGGAAGGTGCCGGGGGTGAAGGAAGTGTGGACCAGGGTGTGCTGGAGGGAACGGTTCCTGCAGAAGGCAGACAAGAAAGGGGAGGGGAATATGTGTCTGGTGGTGCCATCTTGCTGGAGGTGGCAGAAATGGCGTCTGATGATCTTCTGGATGTGGATGCTGGTGATGGTAGGTAAGGACTCACCTACCATGCTGCCAGACCTGCTGAACTTTTCCAGTAACTTTGTTTTTATTCCTGATTTACAGCATCCGCAGTTCTTTTGGTTTTTATTTAGTCATCCCCAGGATATTGATAACGGAGGTTTCAGTGATCCTACCATTGAATGCCAAAGGCCGATGGTTAGATTGTCCTTTGTTGGAAATGGTCATTGCCTGGCATTTGTGTAGTGTGAATATTACTTGTCATCCCAAACATGGAAATTGTTGCATTTGAACATGGACAGCTTCTGAGAAGTCGCGAATGATGCTGAACATTGTGCAATCTTCGGCGAACAGCCCCACTTCTGACCTTATGATGGAGGGAAGGTCATTGATGAAGCAGCTGAAGATGGTTGGGCCTAGGACATTACCCTAAGGAACTCCTGCAGAGATGTCCTGGGGCTGAGATAACTGACCTCAAACAACCACAACCATCTTCCTATGTGCCAGGTCTGACTCCAACCACCGGAGAGTTTGCCCCTGATACCCATTGATTCCAGTTTTGCCAGGGCTCCTTGATGCCGCACTCGGTCAAATGCAGCCTTGATATCAAGTGCTGTCACTCTCCTCCCACCTCTGGAATTCAGCTTTTTTGTCCATGTTTGAACCAAGGCTGTAATGAGGTCAGGAGCTGAGTGGCCCTGGTGGAACACAAACTGGGCGTCACTGAGCAGGTTATTGCTGAGCAGGTGCTGTTTGATAGCTCTGTTACTGACACCTTCCATCACTTTACCGATGATCGAGAGGAGACTGATGGGGCAGTAATTGCCCGGGTTGGAGTTGTCCTGCTTTTTGTGTACAGGACATACTTGGGCAATCTTACACATGTCCAAACTTACATTTGTCTTCCCTATTTCCTGCTGAAATTGCATACATATTTATTTAGAGGATCCCCAAATCCCTCTGTTCTGGAGCTCTGTGCAGTCTTTCTTCATTGAATATTAAAAAAAAGTTTAAAAGAAAAGATATCACTTGCAACAGTGCGGCGCTCCCTCAGCAATGACCCTCCGACAGTCGGCGCTCCCTCAGCACTGATCCTCCGACAGTGCGGCACTCCCTCAGCAATGACCCTCCGACAGTCGGCGCTCCCTCAGCACTGATCCTCTGACAGTGCGGCACTCCCTCAGTAGTGACCCTCTGACAGTGTGGCACTCCCTCAGCACTGACCCTCCGACAGTGCGGCGCTCCCTCAGCACTGACCCTCTGACAGTGCGGCGCT